TGTTGTGTAACTTAATGATGATGTGCCTTGGTGTGTTCCTCTTTGGTTCCAACTTCTTTGGGACTCTCTGGGCTTCCTGGACTTCCTGGAAGTCTATTTCTTTTGCCAGATTATGGAAGTTTCCTTCATTAATCGTTCAAATAAGTTTTCAATTTCTTGCTGTTCTTCTCCTTCTGGCACCTGTATAATTCAAATATGGGACCATTTCAGGCTGTCCCAGATGTTCCTAAGTCTCTCTTCATTTTTTTTTAATTATTATTTCTTCATTCTGTTTCAGTTGGATATTTATTTTTCTCTTTTGTTCCAAATCATTCATTTGAGTACTGGTTTCCTTCCTGACATTCTTGGTTCCCTGAATATTTTGCTTTATTTCATTTTGTGTATCTTTCATTTGTTCTTTCATTTTTTTACCAAGCTCAATCAGTTCTGTCAGCATTTTGATTGTTGGGAACTGACTGCTCTGCATGGTTTCAGGAGTTGTCACTACCCTCCACGAATAAAGCTGAGTGAGCAACCTCCAGACTGTGAGCCACTAAGGAGACAAAGCTTACCTCCCAGGCAGCAATGCTGCTTCTGCTTCATCCCCCACCCCCAATGCTTGGTCAGTTAGTCAGAGATGGGTAAGATTCCTCAGAGGAGGGGCAACCTAAGCCAGACATGATCACTTGGGAGGCCATCAAGGAAGGACTTGGGGGGCTGCAACAAAGAGGGAATGATGGACCCTCACACCCCCCCCAGCTATTCTTACATAACCCGACTCCCCATTTCCATCTGGGAGAAGTGCTTCCTGGCTCTAATCCACTTAAGCCTAAAAACCTATGACTGGGAAAGTGGTGCGGCCCTTTGCCAGCTAGAGCAGGTTCTGGGGTGATCGGGCATAAGAAAGAATTTACAAAGTCCTGTGAAGCCTGCTTTGCTAAGAGTGCTTTCATTCATGTAATAAGGGTCTGAACAGGAAATGAGTATGTCTCCCAAAGTTTTTGCAACCCCCTTACCTGACAGACACTGACTCAGACTAAGCCCTCAGATTTCTTTGAAATGTTATCTACTATTTGATCCTTGCCCCCTGACACTGATTGATGAGCTTTACCTGTATTCTTGTGTGTTACAACCTAATAAAAGCCATTGAAGAAGAGGTTCTTGGTCCATCTCCTCTGAGAGACTGACCACCTCTCCTCCCCAAGCAGATCATGTTTTGGTAGTATTATGTTCATCCGTGGCAGATGGGGGTACTTGAGGGCAAAGTTGCCCCCAAATTTGATTACCAGGGCTTTAAATTTTCCATTAGATATGTTGGTTATCTCCTCATTGCTTAGGTCTCTTTCTGAAGTTTTGCTCTGTTCTTTCATTTGCATCATATTTCTTTTTCTTGGCACACCTGTTAAGTGTAATAGGATGGGGCCTTAGGTATTCACCAGGGCAGGGCAACACTCTTTGCTGTGCTGTGGTGCTACCTATGGAGGAGGGGCCAGAGAGGAAACAGTGCAGCTGGCCTGCTTGTCTCTAGCCCACTTTCCAGTGAATTCTCATGTGAGAGTGGGAGTTTCACCCACCGCAGCAACTTTCGAAGTTCACAGTCAACTCTGAGTCTCAAATTCTCCTTTAACCAGTCCTGCCCATGAGGTCTGCAGCCTCATTGCAGTTCTTCTCAGCTGGCCCCACCTGCGTAGTCTGCTGCCTCACCTTGGGTTCTTACTGGTCTGGTTGTCCTTGTTGACTTTTTCTTTAATTCCTTGGTTGTCACATTTCCAGGCAGTTTGATTTTCTTGCACTTCTGGTTGTTTATTTATTTTAGATTGGTTGTTATTCTCATTTTGGTTGTGTGAGGAAGTGAAGGGTTTGTACCTATGCCTCCATCTTGGCCAGAACTCTCAAAGGTCCTTTATACATATTCCTTGATGACCTTTCTTTTTCTTTCCCCCATTTTCCCATTCCCCCCTCCCATCTGGTTACTGCCAGTTTGTTCTTTATTTCAATGGCGCTGGTTATATTTTGCTTGTTTATTTTCTTGATGATGTTTCACTTGTAAGTGATATCATATGGCATTTGTCTTTCACTGCTTGGATCATTTCACTTAGCATAATGCTCTCCGGTTCCATCCATGCTGTCACAAAGGGTAGTAGCTCCTTCTTTCTGCTGCATACTATTATGTTGTATAAATAAACTATAGTTTTTTATCTACTCATTTACTGATGAGCACCTAGGTTGCTTCCAGCACTTGGCTCTTGTAAATTGTGCTACTATTAACATTGGGGTACATAGGTTCTTTTCAATTGGTGTTTCAGTATTCTTCAGGTATAATACCAGCAGTGCAATATTTTTTTCTGATATATCACCTCAGGCAAGGGAAAGAATAAAAAAACAATTGGGAATACATCAAACTAAAACTTTTTTGTACAATGCAGGAAAACATAAACAAAATTAAAAGGCAACTCATTGAGCAGGAGAACATATTTTCCAAAGATATATCTCATAAGAGGTTAATACCCAAAATTTATAAAGAGCTTATAAAACTCAACACAAAAAAACAAACAATCCAATTAAAAATGGGCAAATATCTGAATAAATACTTCTCCAAAAAGAACATACACATGATAAATAGACATATAAAAAGATGCTCAACATCAGTAATCATCAAAGAAATCAAATAAAAACCACAATGAAATATCATCTCTCACCTGCCAGAATGACTATAATCAATAAATCAACAAGTAAGTGTTAGCAAGAATGTGGAGAAAAGGGAACCTTCATGCACTGTTTGTTGGAATGCAGATTGGTTCAGCCACTGTGGAAAACAGTACGAAATTTCATCAGAAAACTAAAAATGGAACTTCCTACTTACCTAGTGATTCTCTTCTGGGAATATATCTGAAGAAACCCAAAACACTACTTTGAAAGAATGTATGTACCACTATATTCATTGCAGCATTATCTACAATAGTCAAGATTTGAAATCAGCCCAAATACCCATCAGTAGATAAGTGGGTAGAAAAGCTGTGGTACATATACACAATGAAATACTACTTGGATATAAAAAAGAAGGTAGTCTTACCCTTTGTGACAGCATGGATGGATTTGGAGAGCATAATGGTAAGTGAAATAAGCCAAAGAAGTGCAAATGCCACATTATTTCACTCATATGTGGAATCTAATGAACAAAATCAACTAACAAACCAAATAGAAACATACTCATTTAGAGAGAACAGCTGTCAGAGGGGAGAGGGGTTGCAGGGCTGGGTGAAAAGGTGAAGAAATTAAGGGGAAAAAACCCTCATAGACACAGACACCAGTATGGGGATTTCCAGAGGGATTGAGGAGTGGGTGGAGGATAAGAGGATACAGGGGTAATAAATGGAAGGAGTCTTGACTTGGGGTGGTGAACACACAACATACAGATGGTATATTATTGAATTCTATAGCTTTATTAACCAATATCATCTCAATAAATTCAATAAAAAGGTAAAAAGAAAGAAGGAAAGAGGACGAACAACACTTTAAGGAATCCCAACAACCATGAGTGATTCCTCATAAAAGAAGATTCTTTGCCTTACAAGATTCTCTACACTCTCTTAAATAGGAATCCCTAGGTGAGATTAAGAGATGAGATCATAATAAAATTATCTTACTACTTAAAATAAAGCTGGAGCCATTACATTTCTTTTTCATACAAGTAAGATTAGAACTAGACTATCAGGTTGTACAATATACAGAATTAGAAACATTTTATCCAACCACTGCCCATGAGGAGTTCTATAATATTTTACCTGATTTTGTTTATAGTTTAAGCACTACCATGAGCTTTCAACAAAATCATGGGAAAACCAAATGCTACAGCTAAAGTTTCATGCTCTAGAGAGAGAGAGAAACAATACCTTCATTTTACTGCACCCACTTAAAAAAGAGTTTGATTCCTATTATAAGCTGTGCTATGAGATTTGATGTAAATACTTCTTGAAAACTTTATATTTGTGTAACATTTTATAATTTACAACTTTCACATAGATATCATTTGTTGATGACAAGAATAAGTGGGAAAGTGATGAGTAAGAACCAGGTAAGGGGCATGGGGACAAAGGCAGAAGAGGCTAGGAAGAGAAGAAGCATTCTTGACAATTGTTACACAAACAATACTGCACTGAACAAGCCTCATCTTACCATGAGGACCCAGATTCCCAACTTCCCTTTGGCACCACAGCAATCTCTTCAAGGAGATATAATGTCTAGTTTGATGAAGGAAGAAACACACTTCATGTCAGGTTCTCCCACTGCCTGCTATTTGGAAAAGAGAAGGGATTGCCTCTAGCATTGTTGTCTCACCAACTTATCACCACTCCCTACCCATTTTTTGTTAACAATACCTATCTTGGAACATAAGCATCCTAAAGGTATGAGACTTTCTATAATTACCAGTCAGTCCTTTATTCCAAATGGCTGAGCTACATTATGACAAAACTCAAGTCTCCCTTGAGATTCCACTTCTGGAAATATATTTGAAGAATCCTGAAACATTAACCCAAAAGAATATATGCACCTTTATGGTCATATCAGTATTGTTGTTTACAATAGACAAGATTTGGAAGCAGCTCAAGTACCCATCAGTAGATGGGTGAATAAAAAAAGTTATAGTACATTTACATAATAGAATAGTACTCGACCATAAAAAAGGAACTCTTACCTTTTGTAATAGCATGGATGGACCTGGAAAGCATTATGCTAAATGAAATAATCCAGTCAGGGAAAGAAATGTACCATATGATTTCACTCATATGTAGAATTTAATGAACAAACTAAACTAACAAGCAAAATAGAAACAGACTCATAAACACAGAGAAACAACTGTCAGCTGTCAGAGGTGAACAGGGTAGGAGGCTACGTAAAAAGGTGAAGGGATTAAGCAAATAAATAAACTAACTAACTAATTAACTCAATATGCCCCCCAACACACACAAAGAATCTATACAGTTCTTCTGAAGAAATATTTGTATATTTCTGTTACATACCTCAACCTGCTGGCAGATCTGTATTAGCTTGGCCATTTGATTTTCTAGTTCACTGTTTCGCTTAACCAAGTTGGTGAGGTTCATCTCCAGAGTTTGCTGTCATTGCAGAGTATGAAGCAAGAGGGAAAAGGGTAAGAGGGAAAAAAAGAACATACATTCAATTAGTTTGTGAACCAGTACCATGTAGAGATCAGTCGGTTGGCACATACACTATTTCAAAGATTAATTGAGGCCATGATATAGGCTTAAGCACTCTTCTTGGTGCCACTTAATACAAAGTTGACATTCATGACTTTGTGGATGTAGGGCTTTAATGACATTAAAATAATTTAATGTTTTCTGTAATATTTTCAACTTTTTAAAGTATACCATAGTCAATATTTCATTTTGCCCTCATAGTAAATCCAGTGACATAGGAAGAACATACATTATTTTCTTTTACAGATGAGTAGACTAAAAAAACTGTATTTATTGAATAATTACTACTTGCCAGACACTATGCTAGACATTTTCATATGTATCATTGAAAAATCATAACAGCACATGAAGCAGGATATGTTAACCATTTTGAAGATGAGAAAATTGAGCTTCAGACAGGATAAAGTGTTGTACACAGTCATGTAATTAGTATATGGCAAAGCTAAAGCTGGAATCCAGAACTCTAGCCTTCATTCACAGCTTTGCTCCAGTATTACATGATTTTGTGGTTAGTTTTTGTTGTTGTTGTTGCTATTGATAACATTTTATATTTATCAGTAGATTTGTTCAGGAAAAATGGTATTTTAAGTCTGGTATTCATCAAATTTTTGCATCATATCTCAATTTCCCTTCTTTGGCACTAAGGCATAGCCCATGGAGATGGTGAACTTCCAAACACAAAGCCTGACAGTATAAAGCTAGGACAGCTATTGCTTATTGCTACATAGATCCTTTTAGGGACACATTAGAAACACTTTAGAAATCTTTAATAAACATAGTTCAACACTACTCAGAACTCTTAGTACATCTTCAGTTGAGCAAGCTACTCTCTCCCATTCCTTATGTAAAAAAATACATAATGTTATTCACTCTAGATTGATAATGAGTTTTTTATTCTATCCCATTCCCAAGTCTTTGACTCTGGTGGCTGCTTCTGCCTCCATATCCATTTCTCTCTCACTCACCATCCCAGCACCCCCACAAAACCTGTTCCAAATGGAATACCCCAATTTCCTGGCTCTTATTCTGTTAGCATTCTTTTCCTTGGTCATGTTCATTGCTTCATTGCTGTCTCCATAGTTTTTATGGTTTGTATTGTAGTTGTTCGGAGTTCATATTTTCAGTGGGGGAGGGGGTTGGTAAGAAGTGGGGGAGGAAGAAAGGACTCTCGTACTCAGCCTTTTGTTTACTAAGTAGCTGTTTCTCCTTAGTATCCTTGGCACTGTCCCATGAATCAATCCCAAAGGATGTAATCGCCTGGGTATGTGTATTTCTAGGACAGGAAGTTTGATTTCACTTGTTCTCAAACCAAATTATGAGAACCAGCTTAATTTTTGCTTCCCTTTTTTCCAGATCCCTCTTGGATTTTTGGCTTTGTTACCATGGAAGTAAATTTTCACAATTTATTCCTTTGTTTTGTGGCTTGGGCACAGTGTCTCCCCTGGTCTTCTTCAACTTCATGACCATCTCAACTGTAGCTTTCTCCTTAGCAAGAACAGAGAGGGAAGAAGGAAAAAAGAGGGGTAACAATCATTGATTTGGGCATGATCTTACAGCTAATAGAAGTCAGAAGGGAAAAAAGCAATGTCAGTTAAGATATTTAATACAACAAAAGGTATTGGATACCTACTCTGTTCACAGTCCAGTGACTTCAGAAATAAAGAGGAAGTGAGATTAAGATGGGTCTTGAAGGATAAGTAGGATTTTAATAGAGATAGAGTGGGTCAGGATGTTGTAGGCATTTAAAATAGCATGATCAAATGTAAATGGAATAAAGTACAGGACATGTTCGGGGGAAAGACTTTGAGTTTAGCTAGAACAAAGAATATGAGAGAATAGCGGTAGGGGCAAGACTGGAAATGGAGATCAAGGCTCTTTTATGAAGGTCATGAATGCCTCAGTGAGGAGTTTGTACTTATTTATTTAAGTAGTGGGGAGTTACCAAAGGCTTTTGAGCAAGACAATGATATAATCAGGGCTTAAATTATGAGATTAATCTACCAGCAATACATGGAGCAGACTAAAACAGGAAAGTCTGGGGACAGGGACAATGGTCAGGAGGAGACTTGTCTTCAAGGCAGCTGAGAATGCAGGTATGGGCCAAGGTAAGGTGATAATCGAGAAAGGCTTGTTTCTATAAAGGATTTGTCACTGTCATAATGCAGAGATTGCAAGAAAGGCAGATGGAGTTGGTAATTAGAGGTCACTGGTGACCTTGGAAAAGTGAGTTTCAGTAGAGTTTTGGAAGCAGATGTCAAACTCTATAGGGTTAAGTATGGAGGTAGTGATAAAGTGGAGGCTACAAGTCTGGACTCCTCTTAAACAGTTCAACTGTAAGATAAATATGATAGAGCTGTAGTTTGATAAAAATATCCACCTTAAGTTAGAGAGTGAGCATTGGTAATGAGCCCATCAGTTTGATTTCCTCTTGCAGAGTGATTCAGACTCCTAGATCAATGTGATCCCTATGTATCACAAATGGCTATATTTATGTATGAGGTAAACATATATGGATTGATGAACTCAGAGCAGATATAATATTAGAAATCTGTGTTTCAAACTGTAATATGTTTTCATTCAAACATAAGATGCCATGGGGAGAATGTTTTCTAACAAGTACATGCAACCTACTGCAACACTTAATTTGAAACTTATCTTAGATCCCTGCTGGGTGCTCCTAATTTATGGCCCAGAACTGAGACTTATAGCTTCTTTAAAGCCCTGAAAACAAAAATTATGGCTGAGCACAGTTTGTGGTCTGTTTAGACTATGGATCTTGGGCTACCATCACAAAATTATAGCAAATGGTTATTTCACCCTGTGCCCCCCAGCAATTTGCAGAAGGCCAGAACATTTTAACAACACACACTACTAGAACTGACAAGGTGACTCCAATTTCAACCTGACTTCATTAATATGAAAACATTTTGAAAAATAAATCTTTGGTTAATAAAAACACCATCTGTTGATGGCTTTTTGCCACTGTTTTCTTACATTATGAGAGATAATTTTAGGAAAATTCCAGGCATTTACTTAATAACTTCCTATTCATACTAAAGCTTCCTCTGAAACTCGAATTGATTCTCAGTAATGGACATATGTACAGGGAAGGGGAGAAGTGAAGAAATTATGTAGTTCCCTTACTCACCCTTACTTTTCATGCCCAGCATTGACAAATAATTTAGAACTAGATATTCTGGGCCAGTCTAGGTTTTACAAATTTGGCCAAGTAATTATCATGTCTATACACTGACTAAGTAAACAAAGAGTACATGTGTATATGTACATATGTCTACACACATGCACACATGTATATACATACGAATTTGTGTAAAATTGAACACAGCTCTCTATTACTGTTTTGTTTGGTTTTGAAAAATTGATTTACTTTGCTCTTTTCTTTTGCATTCCAGTTAATGACTGGGCTAGGTTCCCTCTGTGTAAGCCTGGTTAGTGCAGTTTTCTAGGAACAATTGAACCGTGACAGTGAGAGAAAGCCAAAGTGCTGGGGAGATTGGAATGGAGATATCTGCTGGCAAGAAACAGGGACAGGAGGTTGGTAGGGGAAGCAGGCTGAAGTTTCCATTTCCTGCTGCAGGAGGTTACCTGCTGCTGGGTCTGCCTGTGCTTCCTCTGTGTGAGGGTTAGAGAAGTCATTTGAGCTATGAAACTATGAGACTCTCTTCTGCTTCAGAAGATTGTATTAGAGCTCTCACAAAATTTTACATATGTCTAAACAGCACACACTTAGGGGAAGATTAGATTTGTTTGCATAATTGATATTTTAAAATGCCCAAGTTAGCTAAATGGCATCCTACATGGATGCCATTTTTAGCCAAGTTCCATTTCATTTGTGTCAAATAGACTCGGTCTCTTTGTCTTCTTGTATACCCTTCCTAAAGAGGAAAATGTTTTGCTACTTCTGAGGAAGCCAGGCAAGGCTATTTTTCTTCTAGACAGCATCCCATAGAAAGAAACAGCTTCTCTAAACTTCTCAAGTTATTGCTGGGGTTTTTAATTTTAGTTTTTCTAGACACAGGTTATTTCTGGTTATTTTCTCATTGGCTCCCCCAAGAAACCTAAGTATACATCAAAGCAGCAACTCTTCATTAAGGCCAGAGCAATTCCCCTGATGGCACACACTTGACCATGATCTCCACTTGTCATGTTCCATGAAGGTATATGTAGTCACACAATATGAGCACACTTATAGATACTGACCTGAAACAGCAAGTCTTGAAGCCTAAAATACTATGTTTTATCAAAACATATAGTATTGCCCCTGGGAACCTGCATACACTCTTGCTTTCTAAAAGGTACAAGGGGTCAAATCCCACCAGAGCTGATTGTAAAAAATAAATAAATATAGGTATACAAGGGGATGTTTGCTAAACCTAGACAAGATCCCAACTATTATGAAGTGACCATTGAAACTCAGGGATGCAGGGAGAGAAAGGAAGAGGAAAAAACTGCCAATTCATTCCAAACTTGAGCCTTTCCAATTGACAGAAGATAATGTCATTTTTAAAAATAACCCAAGCAAGTGACCCCATTACTATTCTTTGACATACTCTTTTTTGACATCCTGTCTGCTCACAGATGTTTCCAGCTATTCCACAAGCTGGGAACCAAAACCTTAGCGCAATTTTGGGGGTCACATTCTGCCTTCTTTTTTTAACTGCTTGTCTTAAAATACCTACTTTGCTTTTGCTTTAGTCTGTCACATTATGTATTAATTACATATAGCCTTTAGACAGCAGAACACAGAAACTGTTCTACAAATGAAAGCCCATATACCTTCATGCCAGTTTATTCCTTCCTCAAACATTTATTTGCTGCAGTATAGACAGAGGCTATGTCCCAGAATGAGATGCAGGTGATATACTGCATGTATAAGA